GTTGCATGACCTGACTACGTTGCAACTGCTCAATCTACAGCACTCATGCCACACCTGAATCAGAAAAGCTACTTTGCGATTGCTGCTCTTGCCTAAACCCAGACACCTCTGAAGTCAGCTGTGTCAGCAAGACAGAGACTCCACGTAGAGCCAAGTTCTCGAGTTAAATCATGCCTCACTCGGAAGCATCTGGCAGGGCGAGCCTAGATCACCTGTGTCCCTCTGGGCTATTCAGAGAAGATGAGAATTTGACTTCTGCTTTCTGCGCTGGGGAGGTGGGAATTGCTACATGTGAATTACTTAAAAGACGCTAGGAAGCCAGGAATGTGACATGTGTCCACAAAAACCCACCGAAGAGAGAAAAGATTCAAGAATTACTCCCAGATTTGTGGCTTAGAAAAGCAGGTGAGCGATGGTGTCATTACCGAGACAAGGAGCACCAGAGGAGGAGGGGGTCAGGGTAGGTGAGGGGAGCGTACGTTTCGTGCAGAGTTTGAGGTGCCCATGAGATATGCAAATGGAGATGTTTAATTGAATATATGAGCCTGGAGCTTGGAGGAAAGGTCAGAACTCCAGACAATAGTGCGGACGGCATCAGAATGCAGATGGCAATCGATGGTGCAGAGCAGAGAGAGACTGTCAGGCGGGGACATATTGAGTGAGAAGAGGCCAGGCCTGGGAGCCAAGCAGAGCTCAGACAGCAAGTGGTGGGGCAGAAGGGGAAGAGTCAGCAAGGGGGACTTACAAAGAAAGATCAGAGCTACAGGGGAAAGAAGCCAGGGCTGGTGGGGTCCTGAAGGCAGGGCCAAGGGGGTTTCGAGGAAGATGGGGCTCAGGAATGCAGTGTGCACTTGAACCCTGCAAGAGGGTAAGTCTTAAATGTTCTTGTCACACACACACACAAAAACGTTGTGAGCTGATGGGTAAGTTACTTAGCTTGATATGGTGATCATTTCACAAAGTATAAAAAAATATCAAAACATCGCATTTTACACCATAAATACATACATTTTTTTGTCGATTATTCCTCAATAGAGCTGAAGGGTAGGGGGACGGGGGAAGAACAGGGTTCAAAGCCAGCCAATCCTGTTTCAGATCTAGGAAACATCCAACGGATAATTATTTTTTTTTTTTTTTCGGATAATTATTTGTTAGTTCCAGACTCTGCCCATCATTCTGTGATTTTCAATCTGGTTTGCTCTGCTTATCTGAGGTCTCAATGTCCTGAAACAGAGAGCAGGTAAAAAGGCAACAAAAGGCGAGGCAAAAATAACAGCCTGAGGGGCAGATCCTAAAGCTGTTCCAGCTTCTGAACCTCACACCTTTGCCTGCATGGTCCGAGTTTCTCCTTTCCCCCCTGGTGAACGTGAGGGCTTTGTTTGTGGCTCGTGTGGCCGTCTCTCTGTCCTCCTGTTGGCCGTCTCATCAGAGAGTGCTAGGGTCGGGCCTTGCCCACCTCCCCTGCCACGTACACTGAGCTCCAGGCTACCCTGAACAAGCCTTGTTCTCCGTTTCATCCTCTACCCTCATTTGGTTAATTCCTATGCACCTCCAGGTCGCTCTTCAGATATCCCTTCCTCCAAAACTCTTTTCGAATCCCCGCAGCCCATGTCTGGGTTTCGCACTCCTAATGTTTATTCCCATCAACCCAGGACTTCCCATCACAGCAGCAGAGAGCACAGAAGTGCAGGGGCGCTGGCACCAGGCACTGCAAGTGAAAATCCTGCTCCACCACTTCTGCGACCTTGGGCAAGTCTCTTCACCTATTGTGGGCTGATAGTGTCCAGTCCCTGGAGGTGTTGTGAACACTAAGCGTTTATGCATTTAAAACCACTCCACAAACTAACTGGAAAGATAGAAAGCACTCAGCAAACACTGTCCATTATTATTAATATGACCATCCATATGTTGTTTTATGAGGCCTAATGTCTTGTCTGCCCTTTTCACTGAAATATGTAAACTCCTTTAGAGGCAGAAATGACATCTATTTGTTTAAAGACAAAAGAAAAAAAAAAAAAAAAAAACGCCACAGGGACTGGAATACGGTTAGGCCTCAATGGGCATTTGTTAAATGTGTGATTCTCATGTGCTGCACGTATAAAATAATTCCAAACCCAAATCACCAAGACCCACCTCCAACACACCAGCCTAAAGCTCAAGGTTATGTATTTGAAACTTCATGCTAAACATTTCTATCTAGAAGTATAACTTAAAACTCAAACTCAACGTTTCCTAAATTGTCATAAGAGTCTGAGGACCTTCTCATCCTGACTTCTCTGCTACTATTAATAGAACCACAACTCTCCCACTGGCCTAAGCTCCAAACCCTTAGTCTTCAATTATCTCCTCTTCCTAGAGCCCTGCATCCACTCTGTGTCATTCATATTGACAATATTAGTGACAAGGCTGAGTCAAGGGTGATGGCAGGGAGGAATGGCAGTCAGGTGAGGTTGTGATAGAAAATAAAAATGGTCACCGTGCCTGAGACTAACACGACCTTTACATATCAAAGGGAAGCTTCGCTGAAAGAATCACCCTTGTGCCCAACTGCAGAAATATCATACTTAAAGACCAGAGCAGGAGGATCCAAAGGGTAATCTTGGTACTTATATTAATCATTTATTAATGAATTTTTAATGATAATAACTTATCATGCTATTTGGGTGATATGAAAAGCAACTCCAGGCTTTTCCTTCATTCTGGCAAGTCTATTTTTGACTTTAATAATGATAAGTAGCACAGGTGTGTAGATTTCTGCAGTGCCAAAGTGGTCCATCCTTTCATTTCTAAGGTCTTCTGCACAATTAGCAAATGTCTAGTCTACTCTTGCTTCTTTCCTATTTCTCATTTACCGAAGTAGATGAGGGGAAATCACACAATGATAGAAAGAACTAATGCAACTGGTGTTAAGCCAGGGCCCTGATTAGGATACCAGGTAGGCAGAAAGAGGAAGATACACTTTGATGTTATCGGGCTTGGCTGAGGTCCAGGGGTGACTGAACAGGCTCTGGCAAAAGGAGTGATGTGGGTGTATGTCAGAAATGACAGTTGTGTCTCTGACTCCTGGCTCCTACACCTTCCTGAACACGTAGCCAGGATGTTTTCTCGATAAAGGAACAGCCAGGGGAGATGGCTCATGCCTATAATCCTGGCACTCTGGGGGTGGGGGGGGGGGGGGCAGTGAGGCACGAGGATCACTTGAACTCAGGAGTTTGAGGCCGCGGTGAGCTATGATTACACCACTGCACTCCAGCCTGGCCGACAGAGTGAGACTTTATCTCCTTTCCTCTCCTCTCCTCTCCTTTCCTTTCTAGCATGTCCTTGGGAAATCTTGGTATTTGTATCCCAAGCTAAGAACAGCTGTTCTTACAAGTCTTCATTCTCACATGGGAAGGGAAAGGAATGGGAAGGGTTGGGGGAAGGGGAAAAGGAAAGGGAATGAAAAGGGGCAGGGGAACACCTTAGAACCATGAGATGAAGACGTGCCAGGCACAAGGAGCCACAGGAGTCAGTTCAGCTTCATGTTTGTGGGTTCATAATTGTCAAGGGCATGACCTCTAGTTTCAGCCTAGTTTTCCCAATGAAAATACCTCTATGGAGGCAAATGATGTTCCCCCAAAGCCTCGACTTTGATGAAACTATGGTGTCTAAAAAGCAACTGTACCTTTTTTCTCACATATTGATAGCTTCTATGGTTTTAATAATTGTCCCCTCCAAAACTCATGCTGAAACTTAATACCCAATATGGCAGTATTGAGAAGTGGGGCCTTCAAGAGGTGATTGGGTCATTAGGCGTCTGTCCTCATGAATGGATCAATCTATTCATAGATTCATGGATTAGTGGGTTACTGGATTAACAGGTTATTGCAGGAGTGGGACTCGTAGCTTTATAAGAAGAGAAAGAGAGACCTGATCGGGCACATGAAGCCCTGTGCCATGTGGCACTCTGTGCAGCCCTGGGACCCTGCAGAGTCCCCACCAGCAAGACAGCCCTCACCAGATGTGTCCTCTTAGGCTTCCCAGTCTCTAGAACTGTAGGGAATTTTGTTTCTTTATAAATTACCCAGTTTTGGGTATTCTGCTATAAGCAACAGAAAATGCATTAAGACAATGGCTAAGAGCAGCTCTTTTTACACATCTTCATTCTCACACTTTAACTTAGTTTATCACCAAGCCCATTACACCTCTCTTCCCTTCTTCATCTTTAATTCAAAGAAAATAGAATCGTTCTTAAGAAAACTTGGTTAAGGACTGTCATTTGTATGAGATGGAAATGTGTTTTTGGCCTGGGAGACCTTTTCTACCCTGGGCAACTAGCTACCTCTGAGCCAAGGATTATTTCCATTTTATATTCCTAAAAACCTTGCAAAGTAAGTATTATTAATATCCCCATTTTATAGATGAGGAAATAGAGGCTTAAAGGTGCTATGTGAATGGTCTGAGATCGCATAGTTGAAGAATGTTAGAAAAAGGATTTGAACTTTATCTGGTGAAGCTAGAGCACACCCTGTGAAACATGGTATGACACTGCCTCCTGGTGGGAGCATGAAGAAGTTCAACCCCACAGCCAACAGGATAAAAACCACTGTAGATCAGGAAATAGAAGCACAGGAGGTAGATACAGAGCACGTGACTTCCTTATAGAGAGGTCCCTGTGTTGGAGCAAATAATTATAACCTAGCAATTCCAGTTCTTGACATTTACTGTAGGTAATAAAGAAATGAACTCAGATTTAAATAAATGACTATTCATCCTGACACAATTTTAACAGTAAAATACAAAAACTATTATCTGAACATGCAAAACTAAGAGAATAATCAACAAAATGACTCAGGAAATGGTTCACCAGGTTGCATACTTTGAAAATAGTTGATGGTGTAATATGTACAATATGACCCAAATTTCACGAATATATATGCAGGAGGAGTTTTTGACAGCAGATAACAATTTTAGACTTAAATAGACATAAGTTAAACCCAAAAAACATACTCCACACTTACATGGATCAAAGACCGGCCCCTGTTCGCTGCCCAGCCCCGCGTTATCAGAGAGAAGCAGGCTAAAGTTCTTATCTTCTGGGAAATGGATAGAACATGGTGAAAGGGGGATGTTGAGCAAACACAGCCTCATGTCAGGAAGCTGAAAAGGGGAAGGAGAAGGTGCATCTTTATGTCCTCAGAACTCTCTAGGCCCAACCACAACCTTAGGGATAGAAACAATTGTTGTGCCCATGTTCAGAAAGAGAAATCAAGGTGCAGAAAGGATAAGTTATTTGCCTGAAGTTACAAAGATACAAGTAGAGGAGTCAGGATTTGATCCCAGGTCACTTGTTTCCAGAGCCTGATACCTAACCACACTCCCCTGAGATAATGTCTGGTTATGATGACTGCTATGGGGGACAAAAATAGGATGACAAGAAGAAAGTGCTTCTTTCTTTGCTGAAAAGTCAGGACTCAGTTGAGTTTGGGAGTCTTAAATATAAATTAATAGCAACAAAAGCTTCATGGTTGTCTGATTTTTTTTTTCCCACCAGTGTTCAGTAACCCTGGAGAAGGTTCAAAAAAGGCAGACAGTTGGGGTCTTGCAACAGAAGGATGCTCAAACCATAGAATTAACGATATGGGGAAGGGTTATTAAAGTTATGGATCATGGAATCCAAGTTTAACAGGAAAAGGCAGTGAATCCCAGTGGGGTTAATACAGGCTGAGGAAATAGGTCAAACCTTGTATTCTGGATAGGGCAGGAATAGACAAAGGGCAGACAAAGTGATGACAGGATTGGAGAAATAGAGAGTTGTGTAAGATATAGTAAGAAAGTCAAATGTGAAAATGTTATGGTTCAGAAAAAGTTCCTGGGAGTGACCATAGGACTGGGCTGGCAAATGGACTAGAGGTGACAGGCAGTGCAGAGGGAAACACCCAGATGGGAGACTCTGACTCACTCCTACAATGTACAACTCAGAACACATTCCAGAAGGTTCTCAGAGATCTGCTTTATTATTTTTTTCCTCCCAAAGAACATTAGACCTTTCACACCACTCTGTGCCTTTTCCGTGAACAACTTTTCTTTTTTCAAGTCACCTGTTTGAACTGGGAGCAAGAGCACAACCACATCTGCCTGGGGAGCTGGTGTCTGCTCAGGTTAGCAACCAAGTACCCAGATATCCTGGCCGTAATGTGCTACATGGATTCTCCTTGGCAGAGGACTCCCTACAGCTCTGGGATCCTCCCACATTCCAACATAAGCCAGAGGATCACTTAATCCTGGCCGTCAGGCCTGCCATGTCTCTAGAAACAAGATCAGGCAGAGAGATAAGGGAGAGTGATTTAAGGAGCAACTGGGAAATCCCCTGGCTGCAAATAATACTCCCACCAGTATTTACATTTGCACATTGGCCTTAATAACTGCCTTCTTTGGGCTTAAAAAAAATGAGAGAAAATTGTCGTTATTACTCCCAGCCTTACCCTCTCGTTTTAGTTTCCACCATGGGAATCACTTGTGCTTTGGCCAGGGCTCCATGGTCTGCAATCAAGTTAGGAACCCAGAAGGCACGTCCACAATAGGTAAGAAGTGAACTGGTAGACAAAACCTGGCAAAAGTCATCATACAAGGTAAACTCTTCACAGAAACATGGACTGCCCTTTCTCTACCCTATAATGCTTGGGATATTCCTACTCACCCCTCCAGACCCTGCTCTTTCGACTCTCCATGCTAATGAAGGCGCACCCAGCCCTTAGCCACCTTCTCCTATAAAACATTCTCTCCTCTGTGACACCATTGTTTCTCTCCACTGAAATTTTTTTTTAAATCCGTCAGCTCTTGTATAAAACCATTTGTTTTTTTCTTGAAATAAAGAACAATGTTTTTTTTTAAAAATCTTCATATTCCTGATACTCACTGTAATGCTTAATAATACATCAAATACCTTTAATGAATATTTGAGGGAGGAAAGCAGAAAAGGCAGGACAGACGGAAAGAGGGAGGAAAAAGGAATGAGTACATGAAATCAGGAAGGAGAGAGACCATGAGTCAGGGAGAGAAAACTTGAAAGTCTAGATATTCCTATTACAAAAGGTGGAGGCAGGAATAAGTGGAGAAATGACTACGAAACTCATTCTAAACCTAAGCTCCTATATGTCTCTGGGGCCTAGAAAGGCTAGAATGTTCCTCTACAACAATGCATCTGGATGCATATATTCTCTGTCATACTTTTTACCTATAGAGGAAAACATGGCTTAGTGGAGAGAGGACTGAAGTCAAAGACCGGGTTCCTGGCTCTATGAATAGGTGGCCCTGTGACCCTCAATGTGCTACCTAAAATGCCTTTTTTTTTTTTTTTTTTTGAGACAGAGTCTCGCTTTGTTGCCTGGGCTAGAGTGAGTGGCATGGCATCAGCCTAGCTCACAGCAACCTCAAAGCTCCTGGAGGCTCAAGTGATCCTGCTGCCTCAGCCTCCCGAGTAGCTGGGACTACAGGCATGCACCACCATGCTCGGCTGATTTTTTCTATATATATGTATATATATATATTAGTTGGCCAATTAATTCTTTCTATTTATAGTAGAGACGGGATCTCGCTCTTGCTCAGGCTGGTTTCAAACTCCTGACCTCGAGCAATCTGCCCGCCTCGGCCTCCTAGAGTGCTAGGATTACAGGCGTGAGCCACCATGTCCGGCCCCCTAAAATGCTTTGAGTCTCAGTGACCTCATGGGAATGGCAGGTTAATCCTATCTGTTCTGTGTCCTTTGGGGGAAGCTCAAGTGAGATACTAACACCTGAAGTGGAAAATCTTTTTTAAAATCTGAAGGGCACTGCACATGGATGAGATTACTGCCATTGGATCCTCCTCCACTCAGCTTCCAGATCTACCTTCCCCCAGGCTGGAGTGTATTCAGCTGTCCTGGGCTGTCTCATCTACGTGCTGAATAAGGAGTATGCCCTAATTTCATCATAGATAAGTCGGATGACACCACTTAGAGTTTCTACAATTCCCATGTTTCTTTTCCTGCTCTACTACACTGGTATGGGTTCACAAAAACCATTAGCTTAGCTTTCATCTCAAGGAGACGGTCGGTCACAGCAGCAACACCTGTGCTAGGTGAACCTGGAGAAAGAGCCATCTCCTCTCCCCACCTTACCGAGGGCAGAATTGGAGCAAGGAAGATGGAGAAAGGTTTTCGTAGTCCTCAAGCCATGACTTTTGGTTCCAGGCCTGGCATATATGAGTAAGGTGCCGGAAAGAATCATTGTCTCTATTTTGAAGTTAGTGTTTACCACTGACCAGAGTGCAAGAGAAGATAAACTCACTCCCGAATTGTTCTCTTTACGGTTATCTTACGTCTCTCTCCTTTCTTCTTGCTTTCCCTTCAATAGCCTACCCTAAGCACAAATCCAAAGCAATAAGAGAAATTCAGAGGTAGTTTTCTTCTTTCTGTTTCTGGCAAATCATTTACCTCCCCCAAATTTGCCCACACCACCAAAAGGAGGGTATGAGGGAATTTCAAGAATAATTGCAGAAGCTAAATATTTTGGAACCTCATTAAGCAATGGGGTTTGGCGTAAATCTGTCTAGCTATTATTTTCCCTTAGGATTGGTGATACACAACCCTAACTCATCCTGAATTCTCTTATCTAGCAAGTAGAGCTAACAGGGAAAACCTACATGTTCTTTTTGTTTTGTAAGATTTTTCACCTTTCCCCAAGTATGTGGGGGGTCTGTGTAAACTGGGGCAGCATTGTTCCTCCTCCTCCTCCTCTATGATGGATTAAGGGTACATTAAAGTACAGAAATGCCATAGAAAACATTAGTAAAGAAATTGGAATTAATTAAATTATTGCTGCCATTATATACTTATTAAATCAGCAAACTATGTGGTTTTTAAGTGCTAGGGACTCTGATAACTTTCAGGACATCCTAGAAGGCAATTTTTAATACACATTTAAGAGTCATAAAAAGTAGTTACAACTTTGACTTAACAATTACAGTCAAGTAATGTAGTTTATGAAATAGTTCAAGAGAAGATGTCCATACTAGAGTTATGTATAATGGAAACCCAAAAATGTTCACTTCAGAATTACTTATAACAACAAAAGAAAAATATTAAAATGAAACAATCCTAATGTAATAAATATTGATGACAGTGCACCAGACTCTGCACCAGGCAATGGAAATACAGTTCAAAAAAGGCAAACAAACACCATGCTTGAATGGAACTTGTATGCTAGAGGGAAAAACAAAAATATGTGTCAGGTGGTGATAAGGCCAATGAAAAAATGAATGAAGTAAAATAAATTAATCGAGCTTATAAATGATGGAGCCAGAAATTGAATTCAGGACATTTGAGCTGATGCTTTTCTCAAAGCTTTACCCATTTGCCTCAAAAAGACCTCCTCCAAAGACTCAGGAAATTCACTCAGGAAGCATCTCTAAATGGAGAGAAAAGGAATGGAGCTGTATTGTAGAAACTGTAAAGAAGAGGGTGCTTCAGGACTGTAAGGTGCTTGAACTCCCAGGAAAGCAAGTGACTTTGTTAAGCCATGAGAGATAGCTATCAGTGGCCAGCTTGTAGAATAGAGGCTAAAGCAAAGCTTGGGGTCTTCCCTTCAATCTCTTGACCTCTGGGAAGGTGGCTAAGACCAAGATCACGGTCCTACTTCCACATAAAACCTGTCTCAGGAGCCATCCTACAGTGTCTCATTCTGAGAACAAGAATCTGAGCTATCTTTAAACTTTTGGGTGTGCAGACATCTTATCTAGAGTGATATTTTTTAAAAATATATATTCTTTAATATTAGAAACATCATTTATGTGCAAAAGGCCTAAATTCTATGTCCCTTTAGACCCTCTTATGTCTTTGGTATACTAGAGTCTGTGGACCTCAAAGTGCCATTTAAAAGTTATGCAGATTTTCAGTTTAAAAGGTAGCCCAGTTACTAGTTCCTGATGTAGCTGTAAGACAAATATAAAGATTTGCAAAAAAAAAAAAAAATTATACCACCAGTCAACTTATTGCCGGAGTATGATAAGCTGATGGACATGACTCAAAAAAAGCAATCAGTAACCTTAATAAACTCTGCTACCAAAAATCTATTTACCTGAAATCATAAAGTTAGAAAGACATTGTGTCCCTCCTTCATTTTCTGCCCCTCCAGATTAGAGAAATGGAGTCTGCACCAAGCAGATAACTGAGATCAAACCCTTCACTGCACATAATTCATTTTCTAGTGGCTAAAGTATCATCTGTTCACATTTTCCTCTTTTCCACATAGGTCCAGAAATTATAATGTCTAGAATGCATCAGGGAAGAGTTTAGGGTAGGAGATGGGGATGCCAGACCCCATTCCAGCATCCCATTCCATTTCCCATCTAAGGAATTATACATCTTCACTATAACATGCTCTGGTGGGGGTAGAGGCAGGTACAGCTCTAATCATAATAACCCTTACTGGGGATGGTATTGTTGTAATC